TGCAAATGATTTCGTTAGGTTAATTTCATCGCTTTAGTCTATCTGAAGAGGACACAAATCACACAATGATTCTGTAAAAGGTTGGGTTAATTTTTTGTATTGAACAACATATCCAAACAAAATCTCCAATTAAATAAAGGGAACTGGAGATCGGGGCGATTTTGATGCATTAAACATTAGCTCTGAATCCCTCTATGAATCTGGGTACTGTCTCTCAACTATTTCTGATCTTACTCGTTTTCTATGGCACGGTAGCGTGATTCGAAGGTAAAGAACTTGATATGATTACTAGACAATTAACTGACTTAAATTCAAATATAATTAAGTTTTTATCGTGTGATTCTAACTAACTTAAATTCAAATATAATTAAGTTTTTATCGTGTCAACAAGTCAAAAAATTATTATCTAGGACAAAATATTATGATTGGCTTTTTCATGATTTCTCATTCTTAATTAACTAATAATATCTATCTGCATCTTTCAAAATAATAATAATATCTATTTGCATAATATGTGGTTCCAAAGTAAATTCATAAATAATAATCCGTATATTATGAACATCATCAAAAAAAATGAAGGCAGTTTTTCCTACTTATTCTTTTTAGACGTAGCTCCATGAAATAACAATAACAATATTATAATAATAGATAAAAACATGAAATCTACTCCAATTTAATATAGTAAGAATCCAAATTCAATCAAATTCAGTTAAATAAAATATAAGGCATCAATTCTATTGTAGTTGAATATTATAAAGGGAAAAACTCTACACAAATCTCCTAACATAAAGTTCACGGTTCCAAGGTTGTTAAAATCGTATTTTTCAATTGAATCGGTAGATGTTTTTGAAAATTGAATCGTAAAATCGAATCGCAAATCGTAAGATTTTATCAAACATATTTTAATAATTATAAAATAAATAAATATTAAAATTAAGTTGCAAGTTAATGGTATTATGTCATTTTATTACATACCACTATACCTACAAGGTCAAAAACACGATTTATAAACTATTTTTATATTGTAAATAGAGTGAATAATAACATTAAACATATGTAAAACATAAAAATAATTAAATAACACAAGAATCCATTACTTTTTTAAATATACTATTGATGTTATTATTATTGAAATTTTGTATCAATTTGTAGTAGTTAATTTTAATAAATTTGAACCATTTTCACTAAAAAAACTTATTCCGATTTTGATACGATTTTGATACGATTTTATGATTTTACGATTTTACCTGCGATTTTAATCGATTTATTATTGTAGAATCGTAAAATCGTACGATTTTACGATTTAAATCGAGATTTTAACAACCTTGCACGGTTCGATGAACTTCTATCACTATTATAAACATAAAGTTCAATGTAGATAACATTAATTCTAGTTAAAAATTGATAACTCCATGTTCAAGCTCATTAAAATTAATATAATAAAATACACCGCCTAGGGGTGGGTACGGTCCGGTTCGGTCCAATATTTAACCGAACCCGTACCCGTCCGTTACTATTGAAACGGTTCGGTTCGATCTTAGACCTAAATCTGTTCGGTACGGTCTATTTTCAAACGGGACGATATCATATCATACCAATACCAAATAATGTCACTTTTTCCAAGTATTTAAGGAAAAATTAAAGTATAGACATCCTCCCAAAAATACACACAATTTAAAAATTTTCATGTTTCATACTACCTCCGTTCCAAAATGATTTGCAAAATCAACCTTTTTCGGTCAAACACTTACTTTTTAATCATTTAATTAGGATTTCACTTTTTAATTATATACTAATTCGGAGGGCCACTGTTCTTAGATGGATTGTCACTTCTCTTGTAGCAGATTGTGCGGCAGTAGGCTTCTGATTTGAGCATCCGTCGTTTGTTTGGGGTTTAGGATCATTGTCGGTTTCTTTTTCTCTCTCTAGGGTTGCCACAAGGCAACGCTTAGCCTGGATTGTCCGACGGTGATCAATTTGATCACGGCGCCGGTGTTCGTTTCTTTCGGTTTTTCCTGGCTTCGAAGGAGTAGTGTTTCGAGCTTGTTTGTAATCCTATCACGGTTTTTGAAGAAGCTGAAGTTGCAATTTGCTTAAGTATGGTTTCAAGCCGGAGTATGATTTCGATTCAGCATCAAGGGATGTCAAAAGAGGATACTATCATTCAATACAAAAGCATGACTATTGAGGCGGATGAGCGATGGGCGCGTCCCCCTCCTGAGCCGCCGCCATGGAGTGCAAGCAAGACTAGGGTTTGGAAGAAGATAAGTGAACTATGTTTTAATTCCATTTTATTCTGTTGATGTTTTTCTTTCAAATTACATGTTGTTTTGGACGTGTTCTTATTTCCTAGCAGAGAGATTCTGAAATCTGGTTTGCTAGCCATTGGCTCAGTTAAGCCCATTACAGGATCATCGAATATTATTGCTTCTACAGAGGTGATGTATTTTAAGTCTGGTTCGAGGGCGAACGACAGACATATGGCTTTTTATCTCTTTATTTACTTCTTCTTCCTTGATTGTATTATCAGCCGTGTGACGAACGTTATTTTGATTTAATATATTCGTTCGATTTGACGATAAAAAAGTTATATTCTAATTTGGCCTTTCAGAAAAAAGTACTTCGTATATTCTAATTTGGTTTCTAAATATGTAAATTTTAACTATTAGAAATTGTACGGATTATAAATTATCATTAGGGAGGACTTAACATTAATATTGACAAAAAAATGTTGACTTTGCAAAGCAATTTGGGATGGATGATGTAATTAATAAATTTTAGATAAACTATAATAATACAAATTTAAATAATTTAACCATACTTCGGTCCGGTTTGGTCCGGTACCGGTTCTCATTTTATAAGAACCCGTCATGACATTGTTTGGAACCGGTACGGTCCGATTCGGGACAAAAAAATTGAGAACCCTTCAAACCCCATTTATCAATTTGGTATCATACCGGTCCAGTTCAATACCATGCCGGTTGAGTATTTTTGCCCACCCCTAACACCGTTGAAGAAAACTAAAAGTAAGTAACTAAATCAAATCTCTTAACATAAGTTCACGGCTCAATTTGTGTATAGACAATTTTTTCCACATAGACAAACAATGTGTATGAATAATGTACATAAAACGGTGTACCCAAAGCATTTCACATTTATATATATTACGTATGTATTACATGAATTTATTTCTCACAAATCAATTCCTAACATTTTTTCCGAGGCAATACGTTGACTAGCAACCATTCGAAATAATAGAACAAGCTATTCTTTATTTTTATATTATAAGGAATTCATATTTTCCTATACGTAGTAACAAATATTTGTATTACATGCTCGTAATGAATGACATCATCATCATTCCAGTGCCGCAAAAACTCCTACGGACTTACTATCGTATTTATTACGTAGTAAAAAACAATCACATCGGATGTGCGCAATCTTATCTATGTACTAAAATACATAGACTATTTCCGCATGATGAAGTGAAAATCACGTTGAAAATTGCATAGACTAACTGTTGATTTATATCAAAGAAGCACATACAATTTCATTAGTCATTTTACTTTATTCCACCATACTCTCAAGCAAAAAAATAGTGAGTCTTTGATTCCATTGCAAGTGATGGATAAATATGCGTGGCTTCAATTTAACAACTGCATATTGGAAGGTTTAATTTGGGTTGTTCAAACAGATTAATCTCTTTGATTAAAAAAAATAATTTTTTAAACCGATTTTAAATCAAGTGTTTAATTGTAAATAGTTGATCATGTTTAAGAGAAAAGTAATTTTGAAAAATAAAAGTCAACAATTTTTTTTTTGTAAAAAAGATGTTTTTATTGTATAATAACAAAATGAAAAACAGTCAAAAAACACCCATTCACTTGTTATCACCTTCCAATTGTTAAGTACTTAATTTAAGCAATCACTTTTTTGTTGGACTTTGTAGTACTCTCTTAGTCTCTTATAGTATCAGTTTTATGTTAAATGACAACACCTTTGACTCGAATGATTTCAAACTTGTGACATTCTCAATTGGAGTGTCACAATGATCTCATCAAATCATAAGATGTTTGACAATTTAAACAATCACTTTTTTTATCGTCAAAATGAATGGATTAAATTGATATCACAAAATTCAGATAGGGGGTAAAATTAGAAAAGGACTATAGACAACTGTCAGCCCTCGAACCAGACTTAGAGTCAATGACCTCCAAAAAAGCAATATAACTCGTTCATCCTATAATGGACATACATGAGCCAACGACGGTTAAAGTAGACCTCCCATAACCCAATCCTAATGCAAGAGTCTTACAACAATAAAAGTAAACAACAACAAAATAAACAGTCTGATCATGAAAAATAAATAGCAAACAAATAGTAAAATTAAAATACTGATTCCAAACCCTAAACTCTCCTACACTCCATGACGGCGGTTCAGGAGGGGACAGTCCAACAATCTCGTAGCTTCCTCCGCTCCTTGTCTTCGGTCCAGATCTGTTTCAGCCCCTAGCTCCACGCTTTGTCCATGAGTTTCTGATCACAACCATGAACAACGTCCTCGTCTTCTCGAAACTCTCCACCTGATGTTAGAGGTACACGACTTTTGACCGTCATATAGGCGCTGTGGTCTGCCGAAAAAGAGAGCCTCACGAAAAGCAGACGAAAGCCACACAAGAAAGCTGCATTTTGTCAAAGACGAAAGCGGAGAAAAACAATCCATAAATCCAGGAGAGACAGCCGCCTAGAGAGAGAAGCTATCGGTTCGATACACTGGATCACAAATATAGCTAACCATGGGAAATCAATTTAAACAATCACTTAAAAACACTCATTTTAATTTTCTAAAAAAAACCAAAACATTTTTTTTGTTTTATACGGAGTATTTTTCCACACATCCCATATAAAGATATGAGTTATGGTGTACACAAAAAGTGCACACTTTTTATACTTTTTATACATCGCCTGCGTACACAAGAATTGAGAGAAAAATGTTGCATCTTTCTTAACGAATTGTCTACGTGACAATTAGTAGGTGTGCACCTGTAAATGCTGCATTTTGTAAAGCTATAATTACGGGGTTAAATGGATGTTGGCATTCTGAGTGTGATTGTGTGAACTCTATGATGTTCAACATTTTTTTGAGCCAGATCCCTCTATTTCCAGCTTTAGAATCTTTAAAATGGAAAGATCAAAATTTTATCCCCGTACTAACGTGTTGGGAGGTGAGCAAAGAAAGATGGATTGGCCAGATGAGGCGGTGGAAGTTTGTCGAAGTTGAAATCTAACGCGTGGCTGAAATTCCGGTCGAAGCTGTGATCAATGTTGTTTCGTTTCTTTTCTTCGAACTGGCTCTGCTTTCGTTCCATTCCAAAAAGGAGTTTGAAAATATGGATGGATACATTTTCTCCGGCCCAGATGAAACCGGGATTTTAAGATCCGTGATACATTGGGAAGCAACACTAGTTTGACATCTTCTAGGACACTGTAACTTGCTCTTTTCTCAGACTCCTTTCAATCCTCCACCATTTATAAATTAATTAATTGTTACGCAGTATAAATATTCTACTACTGCGATTACCGCCCCCCTCGGTAAAAATAAATAAATTTATCTGCATTCATATACTCAAAGGTTTGGTTTTTAATCCCTAATCATAGGAAAGGAGCCAAACAGATGATACTAGTGAAGGCTATGGGTTTCTTTGATTTTTTATTTGGAAGGGATTGCAGAAGGTTCAGCTTCAAGCGAAAATATAGTGATGCAGGGGAAGCAGGTTAATCATTTTGCCTCGATCCTCATTGACTGCTAATTATGATTAGTTGACGTCCCTTTGTGGGTAATCTATGATCTCAATTCTCAAATCACAAATGCTGATTTTTTTTGTATTTACATCAGATCACACGTTTTGTTGTTTAGGAATTCATTCATAAATGAGTTAGCAGGGTTGTAATGATGTAATCATGTCACCACACCTAAAAGTTTTTAGAATCTATTAGCCTGCCTGTGTAACTGAAAAGTGTCTCTTTAATTCATAGATTGATGCAAGACTTTATTTTTATTTTTGATTTTATTGTTTATGATAAATGTGAGTGGCCTTTTGATGGAAATTTGGTTGTGTGTGAATAAACAGGGCGAGCATTGGAAGAACTTAGAAGTAGTACACATAATAATGAGCTCCGAACGTCGGAAGGGGCGAAGCGCCAACAACAGAGGTATTGTGGGCCGGTGGTTGCGATGGCGTTTAATTTCATGGTTGCTGTTGGAATAATCCTCGGAAACAAGCTCGTATGCCCCGCCCTGCCCCCCACTTTGTTTCGGGTTAACTTTAGCTTTTCTGTTGTGTTAGAGTCTGAATGCATGAATGAATGTGTTGTGTGGTTCAATTTGTGCTGCAGGTGATGGGTAGAGTTGGGTTCAATTTCCCTATCCTCCTCACTTTGATTCATTATACATGTGCTTGGGTCCTACTAGCCGTTTTCAAGGCGTTGTCGATTTTGCCGGTTGCTCCTCCTTCTAAATCCACACCCTTCTCTTCCCTTTTTGGTTTGGGAGCCGTCATGGCTCTCGCATCTGGCCTTGCTAACACTAGTCTTAAACATAACAGGTGGGCAGCCCCCCCCCATCCTCCTTCTTCTTCTAAATTTCTTCTTCATCAACTTCACCCTTGATTAGATTATTTAGCTCTTATGTGTGTCTGCAATGCAGTGTAGGTTTCTATCAAATGGCTAAGATTGCTGTGACTCCAACAATTGTCATTGCTGAGTTCATTCTTTTCACAAAGAAAATCTCATTTAAAAAAGTAAGTCTAGCTACCATCTTTATTATTTTCTTCCCTGCCCCAATTTTTTTCGTTTGCCTTTACTTCACATGAGGATTGATGCTGAGCATACTCACTTTCCTTCTTCATTCAAACATGTGGTGTCAAACAATTAAAACATGTAACACTCTTTTATATTTATATAAGGTTTGGGGGAAGTACGTATCAACCACCACACTCTTAATTAATACTCCGTATGAAATATTATAACGCATCAGGCACGCAGATGTGTATGAGTAGTTCGCTTCTGGTGAGCTTAAAAGAATGACCACACTGACAGACTTCAAGGTTAGGTTGGTCATATCCAATGAATGACCATCTTGTTTGTGGGACAAACTAAACCTGCATCATATGTTAAACAATTATAAACATTCAAATCCAACATAAATAAAATAAGACTTGCGATGATGTACCCATTCTGATTCCTGGAATAAAACTATGCAGGTTTTGGCTCTTCTGTTAGTCTCGTTCGGTGTGGCAGTTGCTACTGTGACAGATTTAGAATTCAATCTCTTTGGCGCTTGCATAGCAATAGCTTGGATAATCCCTAGTGCCATAAATAAAATCCTATGGTCTAACCTCCAGCAGCAAAGGAATTGGACTGCCCTCGCGTACGAAACACCTATATCCTTGTGACATTACTTGTCGTTATACTATAGCAGCAGATTAATGATACTGTCATGATCCGAATCGCTTACTTTATATATGTATGTATATGCAGGTTGATGTGGAAAACAACCCCCATCACAATATTTTTCTTACTGGCTCTTATGCCATGGTTGGACCCACCAGGGGCTTTATTATTCAAGTGGAATGTCCATAATGTCACTGCCATTCTTGCATCTGCCTGCCTCGGTTTCCTCTTGCAATGGTCCGGAGCCTTAGCACTTGGGTGAGAGATTCTTCAACCATCACTATCTTAATCAAACAAGTATTGAAAGTGTTCATTTTCTATTAAAAACGGCTGTTCTTTTCTTTCCGTTTTTAATACTTAGTAATTTATAACTAGTTATCCTGAACACACTATGTTTACCAGTTACATAGATAGTTGTACTGAAAAATGGTTCAAATTTGTGTTTGCAGAGCTACATCTGCAATCTCACACGTTGTATTAGGGCAATTCAAGACCTGTGTGGTTCTACTGGGAGGGTATTTACTTTTCAGTTCAGACCCAGGGATGGTGAGCATATGTGGGGTCATTGCTGCACTTTGCGGGATGTCGATATACACGCTGCTTAGCTTGAAAGAATCAAGTGACTACATCCCTAAGCATAGTCTTTCTCCAAAGCTTGTAACACATGATGATGATTCAAAAGCAGCACATCATGCTCCTACCCCGCCTGCAATCTGACCTTTTAATGCAAATCTCTTTTCAACAAGAAAAGTTGTGCCTCTCATATACTCTTTTGTACATTTTTCATAAATTAGGAAGTCCAATCTCACTCATTTTGAATTCTAATCTCCCTCTTGTTTTTTTACATAAAGAAAAACAAAGTGCACCTATAATTGATGTATTATTTCATACTTTTTAGAAAAATAAAAATTTCAACAATTTTCTTTACCAACAAAATACAGGTTTTACAAAATCGGGAATGAGTTGGGCCCAGAGTGCCCCCTCCTCCGGTTACGCCCATGCACACAAATATAATGTTATGAGATTATAAGTTCATTTAAAATTTGTCAAGTTCATAACAATTTAATGCATATTCTATCAAAATCATATTTCTTCCCCTGCTCATTTATAAGTCATTCAATATGATACTCATTTGATATAAATGGTGTTCAATTTGTGTTAGAGAAATGCTCATTTCATCCCGAATGTATAATTGAAAAGAGAACTAAAGTTTAATAAAACTGTCACAGCTAGCTAGAAATGCTAAAACTAACAGACTGATCAGTCAGAGTCAATGGAAGTTTGGTATAGTAGAAGAAATGATGAAGCAGATAATGTATGTGTTATTCCAATGAAACATCATAGATGCTTGACCTCTTCTTGTTCTTGACATCCTTGTCCAGATGAATAAAATACTTCTGAGCATGACTAGCAACCTGAGTAGCTGACCTTGTCTTCACACACTGCCTAGCTATGCTCTTCCAGTCTCCTTTCCCATACTTATTTAGCCCTTCCAAGAATCTCTTGTGTTCTCCTGCAGTCCATTGGGTAGCTGGTTTCCTCGCCTCTTTGATCTTATTCTTCTTCTTGTCAGCTGATTCTGTGTAGTCGGGAAGCGGTATAAGACCAGCCTCAATATCCCCTACATCGGACATCAGAATGTGATAGTGTGTTTCCACTTGCAGAGCGGTTTTCAGCGGGAGCAAATCTGCAATTTTCGCCCATCTGTTGGGCGTGCCTTGTGCATACTTAACCAGAGCAGTCTCAAAAATCTTGTCTTCACTCCTACCCCATATTGATGCGCGCTCCTCCATTCTCCGATATGTGCGCTTTCTCTATCTGTTGTCATCCGCGTACTTTATGATCATATGTCTAATAATATCTGCAGCTAGCTGTCTATTTGATCAAACCTCTTTCTAAAAAATTTACTCAATTGAGTCTGGCCTTAATCTAAGCCATTCTTTGAAAAAGTTTCATCAATACATACAATTGTCAAACAATATAAGAATCAAAGCTGAAACCAATTGATCGAAGTCCCTCCTCCGATGAACTAATTATTCGGTGCAACGGAGTGTATAACAACACTTGGTTGCATGCATCATCAACTTTGTAGGAATTTTTCCGAGTGCTTAACAATGCAATGAATGATATATGAAAATAAATACATAGTAAATGTTTTATGACGATCGTTGATATTTCATAATAAAACACTGACGAACTTTTTCAAGAATATTATTATTATTATTATTATTATTATTATTATTGAATAAAAGTATAAAAGATAATTATATGACTTGTTAATACTACTACGTACACTTAATAATTTGCATCTATGATTATAATTAAAATGAAAATGGCTTAGCCACACATGCTCTTAAGTCTGAAGTACTATCGTATTTACCGAGAGTTATAAAAGCAAAGGAAAAAACAGAGAACATTCATTTAAAAAAAAACAGAGAACATTCGTCCCAAAGTTCACTGAAATTCAGAGGAGAGCCCCTATACTTTAAAGTCTAATTTTTTTTTTTCAATTTATCAAATTTATCACTTTTTTATATAAAAAACGTAACTTTTGATTCCGCGTGCAGAATAATGCAATAATAATAATTAATAAGTGAGTTTATACACTTGTTAATTAAGAGAACAACTTTAGTTAATTGGGTGAAATTAAGAGAACAACTTTAGTTAATTCTTTATACACTTTTTTCTTAATTTTACTAGTAAAATATATTTTAAAGTATAATTATTTCACAGTTTAGCAGATTGAGGCAATTCGGTCACTTTAGTTAGAATGTGATCAATTGCTCGGAATCTAGGGAGGATCTATGTTTGAGTTATGGTGAGCTGAAATCCATACAATTTTTTTTTTTTTCAATTTTTCATTTTTCATTTTTTGCCTATGCCACTAGTATTTATTAAGAATTTAAGACTGGTATAAGTACCCTTCATTCTAATCTAACTTAGATCGATTTCAATGTTATCAAATGTGCATCTTCGTCTAACTAAAGAAAATGTCATGCAAGTGCTGCTGATTGCATCGATAAATTGAAGAATGAAAGACTAATTTTTTCCTCCCTCCGATTCACAAAGATCTTTACACTTTGACTTCACAGTTTTCAAGGAAATAAATTTGACTTTACTGTAGAGTACACTATTTGACACTGTTTTGTGTAGATTTATTTGCCAAATAAGGTAAATAAGGAAGTGTGAAGTTTAATATGGAACGGCCCAAAAAGGAAGGTGTAAAGATTAATGTGAACCTGAGGAAGTATTTCGATCATCACAGAAATCATATCAAAGAAGCTAATTAGGATTATTATTATTATATTAATTATTTCATTTCGTTATAGAACAACAATTATCGATTATCAGATAGAATACTTAGATTAGCTGTACCTCGTACTACTAATAGTAAAGACAAGTAGTAATAAGGAAAGAAGTGGAATGGCAGGCATACCTTAATTAGCTGCTTGCGGCCTGGTCGGTGCTCAGACTGTCTGGCTTAGCCTAACTGGATGATCCAGGTTCTATTTATATGTATAGATATATAGAGAGAGATCAAAACAGATACAGAATATATATATACTCATCTATCTATCATTGATCATTACTTTACATATATATTGAGCGGAGTGAGTGATGAGTCAATATTATATTCATTGGATGGATAGGAAGAAGATAGATACTGTTAGGGAAGTAGAAAATCCGCCGCTTCTTCGCATTTCCGTTGTTTGGTGATTGGGATCGGAAAATATAAAGCCATTACTCCTTTTATTTAAGGAAAACAAATTAATTTGGGGTTATATAATCAACACTCGGATATTGGAGAATCATTCAATTAGGAAACTAAATTAAGATTATTATCCAATATAAATCAATCGACAATCGTATCCCATCTGAATTAAATTAAGTACATGCATGTGCAGAGACGGAGAGAACTGGCCTGTCAACATGAACGCTGGCTTAGAGCATCTCCAATGCTAAAACGTTAACGATGCATACGTGGCATGGAAAATAACCAATTAAAAAACAATAAATATAATATCTCTCTCCTTATTGGAAGGATCTTACATCATTTTGGTAAGTTTTTCTTCACAATGTCAAGCAGAATGTCAAGATGTAGACATTGTGATTGACATTGCAGACAAAAACTTACCATAAACACATAAGACCGTGGAAAGAAGGAGAGAGATATTGGATTTATTGTTTTTTAATTGGTTATTTCTCATGCCACGTATGCACCGTTAACGTTTTAGCATTGGAGATGCTCTTAGGATGTACTACCCCGCCCCCTAAGTTTGGGACAAGAGAAAGTGACACGGTATTAATAAAAGTTGGTTTATGTGGTTGATATTGAATTGATAAACGTAAGAATAAAGTAAGAATGCTTTTTTAGAACCACACAAATTTTATCAAATAGGGTATGAGACAATCTTAGGATGTTTTCTTTTGGACTGTTTTCAGTCCCAGACCAGACCAGACCAGACTTAAACAGACCAGACCAGACCAGACCAGACTTAAACAGACCAGACCAGACTTAAACAGACCAGACCAGACCAGACTTCCGTAGTTATAAAACACACAGAGACCAGCCGTTTACCAGACCAGACCAGACCAGACTTAAACAGACCAGACCAGACCAGACCAGCAAATTTCAGTCCAAAAGAAAACATCCTTAATGGGACGCACCGAAAAGGTAAAATGAGACAATCATAGCGGGACAGATGGAGTATTTACTTAGATCAAAATGATCTGGTCTGAACTGGTCTGATAAAGGTCTGATTTCTATGTATATTATAATTATTCAAGTTTGGTCTGAACTGATCTGGTCTGGTCTGATCTGGGATTGAAAAACAGTCCAAATAAAAACATCCTTAATATACACGAATAATTAACTGCCATGGTCCACAAGCATAATTGATTACCTTTTTTTTATATCATAAAAGAGCGATCATTATATTAAAATCAAGAACACATACAAGACAACCTTTAGACAGAAATTACAGATCCAATCGTGAACCCTAGGAGTAGACTTAGAGTCAGTCACCTCATATAAAGCAGCATGACTCGCTAAACCTGAAATGGGCAAATTTAGGCCTTAAACGACCAGAACCGAAACCCTGCCTATCAAAAGAATTCCAAAAATCCAAACATTCAAACCAAAAATAAAAACTATTGCAACTAAAGAGAAAATAATCATCATCATAGTGGGTAGGGGGGGTCGGATGTACGCAGTCTTACCCTTCTACTAAAGCATAGAGATACTGTTTTCGAATGACCAATAGTGAAGATCGCGTCAAAAATTGCATAGACTGTCTATTACTTCATAACCAAGAAGTCCACACAGTTTTGTGAGCCATTTTGCTTTATTCCATCATATTCTCAAGCCAAAAATGGCGAGTCTTTGGGTCCATTGAAAATGATGGAAATTAAAGAGAAAATAATACTGAAATAAACTCATTCCACAAAGCCCTTCCTGGTTTGGAGATGGTTCCGGAGGAGGACGAGCTCTTGCAATATGGACCAACTCCACCACCATCGGAATGGCCGACTAAGACTTCACGATCCAGCCTCGATACAACCTCTCAGCCGCACATCGTTCAATCGCCAACGCTATCTCCTCCGACTTAGTTGCAATCTCAAGCGTTAGGACACTTAAAATCAGTATAATCTGCCGCTCCAACCCCATATTGATATGGGAGGCAGAAAATCTCAACCCCTATACAGAGGGGAGACAGCCGCTAAGGTTCTTCTCTCTCTAGAGACACTCATGTTGACCTTACTTAATTAGCCCAAATATCATGGTTCAACCCATATGTGTGATTTGTAAGGACTCGCTATCACCCACACGATGAAATTAATCCCCTGCATGTTGTAAATAACATACACCAAAGTGTGCCACCCTTCTCCTTCTCTACACATGTACTCATTAAATCACATTACTTTTTTCTTAAATCGAAGTATTTGTAATAAACCCCAACCCCCTAACAAATATCAGCATTTAATTTGTTGTTTTATACAGAGTACTACATACTCCGTAGTATTCATATCCTGACGAGTATATAGTTATCTTCTTCATTGTGTCTCCTCTTTATCGTGTCGTCCCAAGAAGCCAGCATGTTGGTTACCATTCCAGAGCATATTTGATATCTATTTCCCGAAAGCTGTAGCCGTTGTTTTTTCTTAAGATAAATATATTATCTTACCTAATTGGTTTGTATTTGGTAAATAAATAGAATTGACCTATTCGTAAAATACACAATGGAAGTGGGTACTCTGAGGGTAACGAAACATACACATACTACTTGCACACTATGGATAGCAAAAAGGATATGTCTAGTTGTTGCTATCGAAAATAATGTGTCGTGTTGTTGTTCTCATTTCGCATTTTGGACTACATTTCTAAGAATTGCACATTATGCGTCTCCATTACTTCCTCGAATTAAGAAATAAGACCAGTCTGGAATTAATGCTTGAAAACCTTGTTGGTGGAGAGGTGGTCTCAAATACTACTCGTCACCTGCCTTACATTCAAAAGTTCTCTTTAACAAGCACTTAAACACAAACATATAGGACTATATTATAAATTTGTTTTCTTGTATGCGGCGTGCAGGGAATTGAAACGTCCATGAGATGTCTCACTCGACTATTGTTTGGTTTCTAATAAAAATCATGACTCCTTTAATTTGCTGTAAGAATTCATTATGATTTGCAGACTTCCTTTTAGTTCAAGTTACTCTGATTGTACGGTGTTACTTGTTACTTGAGAATTTATTTGGTGTAATTTTGTTAGTTTTTAGAGGCCTACTTTCTAGCAAGATAGCTTAACTCGTTTTCTCTTATATATAAATTTAAAAGCTACTGATAATAATAGTATGAGTGTGTAGAATTTCTTGCTGGAATAAATTTGTTTCCATCTTCAATCAGTCATTGCGTGTTTCCATTTATTTTCCAACAATTACTATAATGGTATTATTGTTTGTAGCCAATACCATGGCGTCACCTCATGGCGGATAGGCGAGAGTTCATCAAGGTCGAAGTGACAATGCTCCCCAACATCCATCACATCAATGAATTTAAGTACCCAACGTGGCTATCAAACGTCATCCTCGCTAAAAAACCGTCCACCTTCAGAATGTGCGTCGACTACACCCACCTCAATAATGCGTGCCCAATGGAGCGTTTCCCTCTCCCAAACATTGATAAGTTGGTGGACGAAAAGGTCGTATGCGAGCTCATGTCCTTCCTTGATGCATTCCGAGGGTACAAACAGATCTTCATGCACGACACCAACGTCGGGGAAACAACATTCATGACCCCAGAGGGAATCTTCCGTTACCTCGTCATGGCCTTTGGACTCAAAAACTCTGACGTGACCTACACGAGAATTGTGGTGAAACTGTTTAGAGCTTTCCTCGGTCGTACAATGGAAGCATAAGTCGACGACATGATCATCAAGATCAAACACTCATTCAGCCATACTGACGACCTCCGAAGAAGGGAAAAGGGGCAAAAAGCCCCACAAAGTTGCCACTAAAGAATATCCAAGCCCATAAACTTGATTTTTGTGCATAAATCTTGATATTCCATTAAAAGAGGGTAATTAACCCCTTATCTAACGGTGCCTACATGTGACACCGCACCCGAATGTCCTTGGAGATTTGATTTAGATATTCAAAGTTTATGTATTGGATTTTTATTCCCGAACAATTTGTAAAACGATTAATGTTCTACGTAGTGCATGGTTGAATATCGTACTGTTCAAACTCGTACACTAGTGTCGGGTTTCGCAAATACTTATTCGGGACTTATTAATAAATAAAAGAGCCCAATAATACGTATGACAAATGTCAAATAAGTGATTGAATGATTAAGGAAGAATACAAATGCCTATAACCCCACCTTGGGCCTTATTGAGCTAAATAATGGGAGTAGGATTTTCCTTCTATAATATTCATCAAGTAAATTATTGGGACGAGCCTACACATATTGGAGATCAATAATGTGATTTAGGAAGTTGACTTGTTCTAAGTAAATTAGGATGAGTACAAAAAGACATTTTTGACAAAGATAAAACAATAGGACCCATCTTCCCATTTTTGGAAGTATTGGTAGATATTTTGGACCCCAAATTTAATGGGATCAATTGGGAACCACTCCACATGATATTAGTACCTGCAAGACAAGGAAAATATGTGAGAAGACTCACCTTGGCCGCACCACATGGAGAAGCACTGCCCATGACACAATTGGAATCAAATTTTGGGGCCACCACCACTGTTTTCGCACAAACAGGTGTGCTGTTTTGTCTCCCTTCATTTTGAGAGTTGTACTCGTCCAAATGAGGTGTATAAGGTGTCCTTGGATAGCCTTTGAAGTCTATTTTCATAATTGAGTGGTCTCTGTTCGAGAGGAGTGAGTAATCATCCAAAAATCGATCTGAAGCGAGCAGTGGTCTGTGAATTCGAGCTGTGAGAGTGCTGAGACTGTTTGGTTGATATCTCGAGTTTTACCAATCCAATTAAGGCGTGTGAGATACCAAAAGAAATCTCTCAAGACGAGGAATCCGTGAAGGTCTGGTTTGCATCAATCGGAGTAGAGGAAGGCTTCCAAATCGTCCGAGCAAAACACAACCTCGCAGAAACGGATTTACTCTTCTAAAGTGAGTTGTTAACCCCAAATCCTTTCCATTCATTTTCCAAATGATATGAACGATTGGTGGGACTATTGTACACTAATCCAAGTGTATAATATGTCCTTGAAAAGTTATTTTATTGATGTAAAGGTTAGATACTAACCTAAAGCAAATATTGGAAAACTAGGAATCGAGTTAGCCGGAAAACACCCGTTCTAGGGGCTGTTTTCGTATCAACGATTAGGGGTTGAAATAGCAACTTGAGGAAGCTGTTTAACACCCATTTTCAAGCAAGGAACCAGTTCTCAATCTTCCTTGGCCGAGGCTTTGGTCATTGGATCGAGAAGGAAGGTTTTAAAGCTCATTTGAGGTGAGGACCGACATCTAGTTGCTTACAACTTGTAGGTTATGCATGAGATTACCTAAATGCTTAAATCATGTTTTTGTGAATAAATATGCTTGAACATGATATGAATGATAAGTAATGGACTTGATCATGAATTGAAACCATATTGATGAATATGGAGTTAGGTGAGATAAAGGTATGTTAATATGGTAAAATGACCTTTCCAACTCATGTATGAATGTTATGTGTATGTAAATGTATAGTTACATGATGATGCTTAGCACATGGGAGGCTGCCACATATCTATTGATATGGAGGGGCTACCATTAAGAATAAATGAGTTGTAGGAATAATCTTAATAGTATTGTGATGCTAGTTAAGGATTGTTCTAGATGTTGATAGAATCAAACTTAAGGTTTGAGTTGTTTGTGATGAACTTGAATGAGATTCAAGTGTCAAGTGTGATATCATGGAGTAGGAGATCTATGGTGTGATTGTATGAAGTAGGAGATCTATGGTGTGATTGTATGAAGTAGGAGATCTATGGGGTGAATACATGAAGTAGGAGATCTATGGTATGATTATATGAAGTAGGAGATCTATGATGCGAGTGCATGATGATGTACTCGAGCCTAACTCTAGAAATGAGAAGTTATATTAGGGTTGGACCCTATGTATTGTCGTGACTATTAGTCACGGGGTTTGGGAAATGTTTTATAACAAACACGGGCCTTTGAGCCGATTACTTGACTTTATATAAAGTAAGTATGTATTTTGAAAGGGGTAATCTGGGATTACGGCCTATACTATATTATCACCCTAATTGAGGGCCTTGTGTGTGAAATACTTGTTGTATATCTATTAGATGCCTGCCACACCAGCACTTTATAGCCCTATAGAGTGCTGACCCCTTCGGGGGCGTCCCACCACCATTTTTCAGGTTGAGGCTAGAGCTTGCTTCCTGTGCTCGTTGCTCGAGAGATCATATAGGAGGGAAGACTTGGTTCGTGCTTCCTCCATTCTGTTTTTAAACATTAATAAACATGCTCATGGATATTTTACTGTAGAGCCTGCGTGCTCATGAATAGCCTTGTGTGGCCCTTTCGTTTTAAACAATGTTTTCCGCTGCGTTACGAATTACTTATTATGTTTGTTTATGGATGTGTATGTGTGAATGATATTCAAGACGCCTTGTATATTATGAATGTGTTGGACTGCGGTTGACTATTCATATTGTACGGCGGGTTGTTGACGTGTCCGGATAGGTCCGGGGCGTGACAATTAAGTTGGTATCAGAGCCTTAGTCCATAAACTTCATAATGAAGTCTCAAAATTCTCTTTTTGAAAAGATTTTGAAAACCATGAGCATAGAAGTTTTGTACTTGGAGAGCTTTTGGTACTTGGGTTGCAAGGTCTCTAATTGTTAAGATGGTACCCTTAGCAATTGGTATGGCGGTGACTCGAGCCAAAATGTGTCTTAAGTACCCATCCGTCAATTGACATTTGATACGAGTCTAACGACTCTTTCCAAATTTCTTTCAGAAATGGACCGTGGTGGCAGGATTACTAGGAGAAACCCAACGGGCCGTGTACCAGTGGAGACTGGACAGGGCAGTCGAAGGACCTCTAGGGCATCTAGAGGAGCTGGCCGTGGAGGCCGATCACAGACCGTGAGTGACGGTCATGTCGACACAGAAAGTGAAACCTACTGGTCCTATGAGGACTCGACTTACCAACCGGAAACCGAGCCGGTTGAGACCCCTTACGAAGGGGATGACGATGATGTGAGTGATGAAGAAGGGGAGAATGACTCCCTAGCAAGAATTGAGGCGCTACTCCAACAATATCAGCGGGAGCGCGAGGAAAGGAGGGAACGCCGAAGGCGCCGAGGAGGGCGAACTTCGGGTGGGGCTTCAAGAGGAAGAAGCCATGGAGACTCTAGGGCCCACATTGAACCACATGGGGGCCGGGGTGATGGAGGTCCGATCATAAGGATCTCCAAATACCTCAAAGAGGCACGAGACTTGGGGTGCAAACCCTTCAACGGAGCGGGTGACATCTCGGTTGCCGCCGAATGGATCAAGAGGTTGAACGAAGCAGCCCTTGATATGCAACTCACCCCCGAATTTAAACTAAGGGTGGCGGTGAGGTTGCTTGAAAGGATGGCATCCACATGGTGGGACGGAGCCAAGGGAAAGTATGGCAATACCGTGACTTGGGAGGAGTTCCGACAGGAGTTCTTTGCCCAATACTATTCTGATTTTGAGGTGAACAATAAGAGGAGAGAGTATACCCTCCTGACCCAAGGTGGCACGATGACGGTGAGGCAACTTGAACAGAAATTCAGGGAACTCGCGGAATTCATACCGGAGTACATATGTGATGAGAACCGGATGGTGAATCACTTCTGGGATGCCTTGGACCTTGACATACGCGAGAGGGCAACACAATTGCCTAATATGACGTTTAGTCAAGTGGTTGAACAAGGCCTGAAGGGAGAGAAGGAGTGGGAGGAAAGAAAACGAAGGAACGCCGAGGAGGCGAAGAAGAGGAAGTGGGAGAGTCACGGCTCCCAAGGTTCCAACAAAAAGGGGAACCATGGAGGGGGATCTTTCCGTGCACCTCCGCCACCATCTAGGGGGAACCAGGGCTCGAGCAGGCATGACTCGGGGTCACAAGCCTCGGGGACGCCTCGTTGCTTGAATTGCAAGAAGAGTCACCTCGGAAAATGCCGTGAACCTCCTAGATGCTTCCAATGCGGGACTACCGGGCATTTGAAGGCGCATTGCCCACAATTGGGCGGGGCAAGGTCATCGGGACCAAGTAGCGGGGCCACGGGGACGAGAAACCAAGCCCGGGGTTCCCAATCAACTAGGGGGCATGGAGGAGCAAGCGCGAGCAACGCGCCATCGGTGAATCAAGAAAGGACTCAAGCTAGAGTCTATGCGATGACGGAGGCGGATGCCCGGGCTAACCCAGATTCGGTTGCAGGTATGACCGCTTAGCTCCTCTTGCTTTACACATTCCTCATCCATAAATTGAAGTTATAAATCCTAGAATCCAGGTGGGAGCAGACGTAAGACCGAAATGGGAAAGAAGAGCAAAACCATGCTACTACCCGACCGGGTAGGGCAATAAACCCTACCGGGTGGGACGAGTTTTTGCCCTCGTAAACCTTCTGGATCGCATACCCGATCGGGTTTGGTAATGAACCCGACCGGGTAGGCCAAGTTTTTGCACTCATAAGTCCACTGGAACACATACCCGACCGGGTATGGTGGTATACCCGACCGGGTTTGTCAAAAATTTCTGCCCGACACCTTCTGGAACACATACCCGACCGGGTATGTTGGTATACCCGACCGGGTTTGTCAAAAATTTCTCCCCGACACTTTCTGGAATACATACCCGACCGGGTATGGTGGTAAACCCGACCGGGTTTGTCAAAAAAATTCTGCCCGAACCCACTGGAACTTATACCCGATCGGGTATAGTATGTTACCCGACCGGGTACACCTCGAAGTGTTCGTCAAATGAAAAAGTTGTCTTCATGAAAGTTGTAGATATTTTCATTGTCTAAATGATGGAATTTGAATCGAACGATTTGGTTAAGTATGTGAAGAGATATGATCAAAACGGTGAGACAGTGTCAATTTATATCTCAACTGCGAACGTCAACCATAATTGGGGGATTTTGCCCACTTTAAGGACATGATTTCGCATTATGTTCTTCGTAGGATTGGTCGGTATGTTAGAGAGGTATCTTACATGGCTTATAAATGTAGGAACACTAAAGATTAATGGGAGATGTGCGAGAATCCTCATCGATACCGGGGCGCAACGATCATTTGTGAGTGAGGCATTCGCCGAGGGATTCGACGCACCCCTAGTACCGATGGCTCAAGCCCTATTGGTATCCACACCCCTAGGGGAAGACATCGAGAGAGATAGCCACTATCCATCGTGTGAGGTGGAAGTGGAGGGCCAAAACTTGTGTGATTTCGTGCCGCTGAGTATGATTGAGTTCGATGCAATCCTGGGGATGGATTGGCTTGAGAAGCATCATGCTAGGGTCGATTGTTACACGAAAGTACTTGAACTCGAAGGCAATGAAGGGGTAACCTTACGCTTCGAGGGGGATAGGGCGAAATCCAATAGTTGTATCATATCCGCTGTGAGGGCTAAGAATATGATGAGGAAGGGATGTCACGCATATCTAGCGTATGTGGTGGACAAAACCAAAGAAGAGACGAGCATTGATGATGTTAGGGTAGTATGCAAGTATCGGGACGTCTTTCCTAAAGACTTACCGGGACTTCCACCCGATAGGGAGATTGAGTTCGTGATCGAGGTCGAGCCCGACACCAAACCAATCTCCATACCGCCATACCGTATGGCACCCGCTGAACTTAACGAGTTGAAAACCCAATTGCAAGAGCTTTTGGATAATGGTTTCATTAGGCCAAGCCACTCCCCGTGGGGAGCACCAGTTCTTTTTGTGAAAAAGAAAGATGGGACACTTCGAATGTGTATTGACTATCGTCAACTGAACAAGGTCACAATCAAGAATAGGTATCCTTTGCCTAGAATTGATGACTTGTTTGATCAACTACGAGGGGCAACCGTGTTTTCAAAGATTGATTTGAGGTCGGGTTACCATCAATTGAAGATTAAGGAAGACGACATACCAAAAAGTGCTTTCCGCACAAGGTATGGGCATTTTGAGTTCCTTGTTATGTCGTTTGGGTTAACAAACGCCCCGGCGGCATTCATGGACTTGATGAACCGAGTATTCCATAAATACTTGGATCGATTCGTGATTGTGTTCATAGATGACATTTTGATTTACTCAAAGAGTGAGGAAGAGCATGAAGAACACTTGATACTCGTTCTTGAGACACTATGGGAGAAGCAACTTTATGCCAAATTCTCTAAATGTGAATTTTGGCTAAAGGAAATTGGCTTCCTCGGGCACGTGGTTTCAGGATCGGGAATTGCTGTTGATAATAAGAAGATAGAAGCCATTACCGGATGGGAGAGACCAAAGAACGTCAAGGAAATTCGTAGTTTCCTTGGACACGCAGGCTACTATAGAAAGTTCGTGGAGAAGTTCTCTGTTTTGGCATCACCATTGACGAAGCTCACTCGTAAAGGAGCTAAGTTTGTATGGGATGACAAATGTGAGGAGGGGTTCATGGAACTAAAGAAGCGATTGACCGAGGCACCGGTACTTGCATTACCCAAACAGGGTGTGGGGTACGATGTCTATAGCGATGCGAGCATCCAAGGGCTTGGATGCGTGCTGATGCAGAATGGGAGGGTAATCGCCTATGCTTCACGACAGTTGAAGAAGCATGAGGTGAATTATCCTACTCACGACTTGGAGCTGGGGGCTGTGGTGTTTGCACTGAAGATATGGAGTCATTATCTCTACGGGGAGACATGTCACATATACACTGATCACAAGAGCTTGAAATACGTGTTTACTCAAAAAGAGCTAAACATGAGACAGAGACGGTGGATGGAGTTGATAAAAGACTACCATCTAGTGATAGAATATCACCCAGGCAAGGCAAACGTGGTGGCAGATGCTTTGAGCCGGAAGAGCTCGTCTGGGGCATTGCTAGCTAATTTGAGGGCATTAAGAGCCCAACTGGAGGTATCCAGCGATGGTGCCTTATTGGCACGATTTGAGGTAAGACCTACTTTACTTGATGAGATCAAGAAGGGTCAAGAGACTGACGCAGAACTTATGAAGGTCCGGGAACGCATGCAAGCTGGACCGGTGGAGGATTTCAGTTCAAGAGATGATGGTCTCTTGTTATTTCGTGACCGAGTGTGTGTGCCGTCAGATGATGAGCTCCGAAAGTCCATCTTAGAGGAGGCTCATTCATCGGCTTATGCCATGCACCCGGGGGGCACGAAAATGTACCGTGATTTGAAAGAAAGTTACTGGTGGTCTGGAATGAAGAGGGAAATAGCCGAGTACATCAGTCGATGCCTTACTTGTCAACAAGTTAAGGCAGAACATCAGCATCCAGCAGGCTTATTGCAGCCACTTTCCATTCCTGAATGGAAGTGGGAACACGTGACTATGGATTTCGTGGTAGGTTTACCACGGACAATCAGGAACTATGATGCAGTTTGGGTCGTTGTGGATAGGCTCACAAAGAGTGCACACTTCTTGCCTATCAACACTACCTACCCACTTGAGAGGTTAGCCAAATTGTATACGGATGAGATCGTGAGGCTGCATGGGGTCCCAGTGACCATTGTATCCGATAGAGACCCACGATTCACATCACGTTTTTGGCCGAAATTTCAGGAGTCTATGGGAACGAGGTTGAAGTTCAGTACTGCTTTCCACCCACAGACGGATGGACAGTCTGAAAGAGTCATACAGATGTTGGAAGACATGCTGAGGGCTTGTGCATTGGAGTTCCAAGGAAGTTGGGACAACCACTTAGCACTTGTGGAGTTTGCCTATAACAACAGTTATCAGGCCAGCATCGGCATGCCTCCATACGAGGCATTGTATGGGAGGAGGTGTCGTACACCGTTATGCTGGGACGAGGTTGGCATGGCCAAACTTGAGGGTACTGAGTTGGTTGAGGTCACCAAATCAAAGGTGAAATTGATTCGAGAGAGACTCAAAGCGGCTCAGGATAGGCAAAAGAGTTATGCAGATAAGCGTCGAAGAACCTTAGAGTTTAAGGTTGATGACAAGGTGTTCTTGAAAGTTTCTCCTTGGAAAGGAATCATTCGATTTCAAACCCGAGGGAAGCTTAACCCACGGTACATAGGTCCATTCAGAATTATAGAGAGGATTGGGGCCGTGGCATATCGTCTACAGTTGACTCCTGAGTTAGAGAAGATACATAATGTGTTTCATGTATCCATGCTTAAGAAGTATGTGCATGATCCCTCTCACGTATTGGAGAAGCCACCTGTAGAGGTACGTGAGGATTTGAACTACGCTGTTCAACCTATCAAGGTCACCGATAGAAAGGTGAAGAAACTGAGGAGCAAGGAAGTCCCAATGGTTAAAGTCCTGTGGAAGAGCGATCGGGTCGAGGAAGAAACATGGGAAACAGAAGCTTTGATGAGGAAGCAGTATGCTTTCCTATTCGAGTAGAGCTGTGAATTTCGGGGACGAAATTCCTGTTAAGGGGGGGTGAACTTGTGACACCGCACCCGAATGTCCTTGGAGATTTGATTTAGATATTCAAAGTTTATGTATTGGATTTTTATTCCCGAACAATTTGTAAAACGATTAATGTTCTACGTAGTGCATGGTTGAATATCGTACTGTTCAAACTCGTACACTAGTGTCGGGTTTCGCAAATACTTATTCGGGACTTATTAATAAATAAAAGAGCCCAATAATACGTATGACAAATGTCAAATAAGTGATTGAATGATTAAGGAAGAATACAAATGCCTATAACCCCACCTTGGGCCTTATTGAGCTAAATAATGGGAGTAGGATTTTCCTTCTATAATATTCATCAAGTAAATTATTGGGACGAGCCTACACATATTGGAGATCAATAATGTGATTTAGGAAGTTGACTTGTTCTAAGTAAATTAGGATGAGTACAAAAAGACATTTTTGACAAAGATAAAACAATAGGACCCATCTTCCCATTTTTGGAAGTATTGGTAGATATTTTGGACCCCAAATTTAATGGGATCAATTGGGAACCACTCCACATGATATTAGTACCTGCAAGACAAGGAAAATATGTGAGAAGACTCACCTTGGCCGCACCACATGGAGAAGCACTGCCCATGACACAATTGGAATCAAATTTTGGGGCCACCACCACTGTTTTCGCACAAACAGGTGTGCTGTTTTGTCTCCCTTCATTTTGAGAGTTGTACTCGTCCAAATGAGGTGTATAAGGTGTCCTTGGATAGCCTTTGAAGTCTATTTTCATAATTGAGTGGTCTCTGTTCGAGAGGAGTGAGTAATCATCCAAAAATCGATCTGAAGCGAGCAGTGGTCTGTGAATTCGAGCTGTGAGAGTGCTGAGACTGTTTGGTTGATATCTCGAGTTTTACCAATCCAATTAAGGCGTGTGAGATACCAAAAGAAATCTCTCAAGACGAGGAATCCGTGAAGGTCTGGTTTGCATCAATCGGAGTAGAGGAAGGCTTCCAAATCGTCCGAGCAAAACACAACCTCGCAGAAACGGATTTACTCTTCTAAAGTGAGTTGTTAACCCCAAATCCTTTCCATTCATTTTCCAAATGATATGAACGATTGGTGGGACTATTGTACACTAATCCAAGTGTATAATATGTCCTTGAAAAGTTATTTTATTGATGTAAAGGTTAGATACTAACCTAAAGCAAATATTGGAAAACTAGGAATCGAGTTAGCCGGAAAACACCCGTTCTAGGGGCTGTTTTCGTATCAACGATTAGGGGTTGAAATAGCAACTTGAGGAAGCTGTTTAACACCCATTTTCAAGCAAGGAACCAGTTCTCAATCTTCCTTGGCCGAGGCTTTGGTCATTGGATCGAGAAGGAAGGTTTTAAAGCTCATTTGAGGTGAGGACCGACATCTAGTTGCTTACAACTTGTAGGTTATGCATGAGATTACCTAAATGCTTAAATCATGTTTTTGTGAATAAATATGCTTGAACATGATATGAATGATAAGTAATGGACTTGATCATGAATTGAAACCATATTGATGAATATGGAGTTAGGTGAGATAAAGGTATGTTAATATGGTAAAATGACCTTTCCAACTCATGTATGAATGTTATGTGTATGTAAATGTATAGTTACATGATGATGCTTAGCACATGGGAGGCTGCCACATATCTATTGATATGGAGGGGCTACCATTAAGAATAAATGAGTTGTAGGAATAATCTTAATAGTATTGTGATGCTAGTTAAGGATTGTTCTAGATGTTGATAGAATCAAACTTAAGGTTTGAGTTGTTTGTGATGAACTTGAATGAGATTCAAGTGTCAAGTGTGATATCATGGAGTAGGAGATCTATGGTGTGATTGTATGAAGTAGGAGATCTATGGTGTGATTGTATGAAGTAGGAGATCTATGGGGTGAATACATGAAGTAGGAGATCTATGGTATGATTATATGAAGTAGGAGATCTATGATGCGAGTGCATGATGATGTACTCGAGCCTAACTCTAGAAATGAGAAGTTATATTAGGGTTGGACCCTATGTATTGTCGTGACTATTAGTCACGGGGTTTGGGAAATGTTTTATAACAAACACGGGCCTTTGAGCCGATTACTTGACTTTATATAAAGTAAGTATGTATTTTGAAAGGGGTAATCTGGGATTACGGCCTATACTATATTATCACCCTAATTGAGGGTCTTGTGTGTGAAATACTTGTTGTATATCTATTAGATGCCTGCCACACCAGCACTTTATAGCCCTATAGAGTGCTGACCCCTTTGGGGGCGTCCCACCACCATTTTTCAGGTTGAGGCTAGAGCTTGCTTCCTGTGCTCGTTGCTCGAGAGATCATATATGAGGGAAGACTTGGTTCGTGCTTCCTCCATTCTGTTTTTAAACATTAATAAACATGCTCATGGATATTTTACTGTAGAGCCTGCGTGCTCATGAATAGCCTTGTGTGGCCCTTTCGTTTTAAACAATGTTTTCCGCTGCGTTACGAATTACTTATTATGTTTGTTTATGGATGTGTATGTGTGAATGATATTCAAGACGCCTTGTATATTATGAATGTGTTGGACTGCGGTTGACTATTCATATTGTACGGCGGGTTGTTGACGTGTCCGGATAGGTCCGGGGCGTGACACTACAAGTAGATAACAACCATCTAGGGGTTGTCTTCCGAAACCAAATGAGATAATTTGTCTTAGATACCCTAATCCGAATGAGCTGGAATTTGTCTTCCAAAACCAAAATACGTTCGAGCCTCTCCAAAAGCTATTGAGGTGTGAAGCTCGGCTTCCTCGCCTGTCGACAATCGCTTAAGTTTTCTTCCAGATGAAGTTGTCTTCCTCCTCTGTCGACTAACTCTACGAGTGATTCTGCCTTCTCTCTCTCTCTCTCTCTCTCTCTCATTAACCCTGGGAAGAATAGAAACATGTAAAACAATTTTCTGTTAAGTTGTAAGTGTTGTAATAATTCTTTACAAATCAGCGACAACCTCTGAAAGATTCTTTTATATACTCCTCCTTAAAATACACATGTTTTTAATTGTAGAGAACTAATTAAATGAGAAGCATATTTAGAAATTCCACTTCACCGTGGTGTGTTATCGAAACAATCTTTACTTTTTTTTCTTTGAACCATGCCATGTAAAGATGATGCTACTGCATTATACTTCAGTGGCCATTTTATTGGAGAATATCAAATTAGTCAGCTTTTAGTACGAGAATTGTTTTTTGAAGAAACTCCAATGGTGACTTCATTGAGGAATTTTATGCTTTAAAGTTGGAATTAAAGATTGTTTCAAACCGACTGGCGGCTGGCCTCAAAGCAAATTAATATCAAATGCAACTCCAAACTGGTAGTCAGCCAGATCACTGGATCGTATGAGGCGACGGAGGGTCGAATGTGGCAATACAAAGAAGCCGTTGAAGAACTATTTAAGGCATATGAATCCCACATCATCAGTCAGATCCCAAGGACCGAGAACACAGAGGCCGACATGCTCTCCAAACTCACTTTTGAATCTACGAAGCACATCTCTAAGATTGCAAGGGTAGAAGAACTACGCATGTCGAGCATCCATGTTAGCATGTCCTTTGTCCGGGGAGCTTGCGGAGGATGAGGAGAGTCAAACTAGCCAAACTCAGGGCGCTCAGCCACACCATTAAAAAAAGAAAGCTCTACAAGAGGTCCTACAATGGTACTCTTCTTTGATGCCTCCACTCGGACGAAGCCGATTGAGGTGGCGATTGAAGAAGTAAATTGCGGCGTATTCTTCTCACACCAAGGTCCCTTCAGCATGTGTAGGCGCCTTATTGTCCAAGGTTTGTTCTGGACAACGATGGCCCGTGAGTGTGCCGAGGTTGACAAGAAATGCAACACATGCCAACACTTCCAATGAGTTCCGGGGAGTCCAACGGTCAACTACACCTCGATAAGCACTGCCATCTCATTCTCAAGATGGGGGAATGGGGGATTGACCTCGTGGAACCTTTACCGAGGGGAGCATGAAACAACAGATACATCATCGTGGACATAGATTACTTCACGAAATAGATTGAGGTTGAACCACTTGCAAGCATCACCGAGACGAGGTGCACAAAGTTCGTCCTCAACAACATTCTCACTCATTTCGGTGACTCCCAGCAGATCATCTCGGACAATGACGCCCAGTTTGAGGCGGATCCAATTCAAGAACTCCTAGCCGCATGGGGCAATGGGCAAGCCGAGAATGCCGATAGAACAATATTGGAAGGCCTCAAGAAGAAATTTGAAGCCGGGGTAGGAAGTCGGGGTGACGACTTGCACAACATACTCTGGGCCTACAGAACCACACTGAGGCGCGCCACTGGAGAAACTCCGTTCACCCTCTGCTACGGATTTGAGGAAAAAGCTCCCATCGAGGTGACAATACTATCTCAACGAGTTGAGGAGTATGAGGCAGAGCAACATGAAGAAAATATGTGGGTAGATCTCCACTTCATCTCAAGACGAAGGAAGCAGGCTTACCTCCGAGCTGAGAACTATCGTCGCTAGGTGAAACCCTGTCATGATGCCAAGGTTAGATCCAGAGAATGTTGAGTGGGAGACTACGTTCTCCGAAGGCGAGAAGCAAGCCAACCAACCAAGGGAGGAAAACTTGCCCAGAAGTGCCAAGATTTTGGAATGACATTATCTGGTAAAGTTCTATGAATAATCTAAGGCAGTGGTGACAGGAAAAAGCCCCCACTCCTGAGGTGAAAAGTTTATTTACGAGCTAACTCATTTGTGGGTTATCGATAGATCCTTACCCTAGGCCTTTGAGCCACCATTGTTAGTAAATGATACTTTCTACACATCTCTTCAAAGATTAAAAAAAGGAGAAATAATTAAGTAATCACCACGACCCTCCACTGTATAAAATCCATAAAAGTGTGGGGGTGACAACTTAGCACCTCGGACTGTAAGCCTAAAAGAATAGTTGAGGTTCCAAAGGAGACACTTAATTATCACGTCGTCCTCTCGAAAACAAAGGACGACATGCCTGAAAGAATGACTAAGACTTCGAATAACTCCAAACACTTAAGAGCGCTTCCAGGGATTTGAATGTGACAACTACAAAATACGACCCCAAAGGCGGTACGCTGCCGGGAACCTTAAGTGAGGCAAAATGCTATAAGACGAGGGGTGACAAATCATCCCTTGTTTGACCCTCAGACCACGAAACTTCACAAATGGTCAACACCTTCTCGCTCCGAAGAGTAAAGAGAAGCGCCAAAAAAAAGAGGGGAGCTGAGGGTATGACAGTTAGTCATACTCGAGCAAGAGAATAGTATAACCCCCAAAATACAAGTCCTATTTTTTCACTATGGCAAATCCTAGCGGGAACCTCAGCATGGTCCACGTGAAGCCGGGCAGCAGCCAAAGGACACATACAAGTTGCAGTTTTTACGTTAAGGCAAAAAACTAAGTGTATCACCCCGGCCAAACCAAATGCATGACCGAAGTGTAGCCAGGGCCACAACCAAAGGATCTCTGCCTTAGGCAATTTTCTTTAAGGTAGAGATATAGATAGACACCTTGACCATGCAAAAAACAACTTCGAGGCGATGTCCCTCTCATATCGACGTATTTGGGAAACATACATTCAACCATAAAAAAAATTGACAAAGTACAAAAAAGAAGTGCGAAAAGATAATAAGTCAAACGAGCATGCTTCCCTTTAACAGATAGGAAAAATTACATCATGGGCAATGTGGGCAATTACAGAATGCTCTATAAAGGAAGCCAAAACGCATCACATCATTTAGGCGCGCTCCTTTCAAAGATCAACATCCAAAGCTCTGAGCACTTCACCGTTTTCTATGAGATGTTTTGCGAGTCGAACGACGACATCGTTTACAAGCCTAAACTTAGCCTTCTATGAATCAAAGGGAGATTTTTGTTAACACCTAATCTAAGGCTCTAGAAGCTAAGTGTAAGAAAATGACGAAGAACTAACCTTGAAGGTTTGAATGTGGGCAAAGAACACCAAAGTTTTTCCCTCTCTAGAAAAATCAGTAGCACTTCATCCAAAACTCAAGAAAGCACAAAGCTCAAATGAATGCAAAGGAAAGTATTTATAGGAAAAGTCATGATGGAACCCCAACGACTATCACACTTATCAACACACTAGTTGCCACTCAGTTTAAATGATGCGACTGCCCACATCCAGTCAATCAACTCTGGCCACCTATCACCTAGGATGCCTTCTGCAATGCACCACAGTTAACCAAGCGAGGACCACCACGGCGTGAAGCTCCGGTGCACCAAAGATACATCAGGTTAATCCACCTCAATGCCTCCACATCGGTAAAGTATCACACCGACATAAAAAGGGACAAAGCACCTTAGGTATGAATTCTCCAACTCAAAGATAGAATAAGGCCCTCAAATTCAGCACCGCGGTGATGGTCTCTGGCCAGCAACCTTCGTCTATGGATTCTCCCACAAGGTTGCCTTATTTAGGGTTCGCCAATGAGATTGGATCCCCGGACCCATTCAAAGGTGGCATGCAGGTTTCTACTCCTCAAGCCCGATAGTCATCTCGGCTTCAGAAATTGGGGACCGGTGGACTACGCCTCGACCTAGAAAAACAAAAGCGCAAAAAATGAAACAAAGGCGTATGGAAGCCATCCTCACCATGGAACGAGTCACCTCAGACTACAACATCATAAAATGTAAAAAATCAACGCACATGATCAAAGTCAAAACAACTATACTCCATTTCACTTCGAAGACTCTCAACTCAGAGAGTGGGGGACTCCTGATAGAGTATACGTGCCCGACCAGACTCACAACCTACACTCTCTTGGACATAAACGGCCCAAGCCCATCACACCACATAGGGCCTCTTAGCAAAATCAAGTCCAGAATGAAGAAGCTGGTTTATTGTCCGTAAAGTCACCTCGGTCATCACCTGAGTGATGTCACCTCGGCCAAAGATCCCAGAAAATCGCTCAGGAACAAGGATAACGCCAGACACGGGGTGCACCCGTGCACCTCAGCCATCGTCACATCGGCCAACAGAGAACGTCTCACCTGAAATCGGTTAAGGAATGACACACGTCAAGTTCTACTATGCCACATGGCTCTCGCCCATAGAATAGCCAACACGTGCAAATGTGCAATGCATTTAATGCACCGCCTCATTAATTACTAGTATAAATACCCCCTTGGGGGGCAGTTATAAAGAGTTCGACTCCCATTAATATCAAGCTCTTTTTCACTCAAAAATCTTAAGTGTCCCTTTTCTCTATAATACCACTTCCGGTTTACCGAGAAGCTATCAGTAAGTATCCACTTCCTTACTAATAAAGTACAACCATCCAATTGAAATTGAATTATCAATTAATTGCTATTGAGTACAATTAATAAATTGCTATTGAGTACAATTGATAAATTAAGTAATTGCTATCAAGTACAAAATCAATGTAGCAATTAATATGGTTTACGTTTATTAGATTTCATACTTAAGCCATACATGATTTTTTTAATGAAATCCTACAATTTTCTTAATAATGAAATACTCCATTATATTT